AAAACTCAAGATATTTCAGTAAATTAAAGATGTTTTGGCTATTCTTTAATAAACCGAAATAAATCACATTGGCAAGGAATACTTAAAATTTTAACAAACAGATTATACCAAATTTTGATGGGAAAATCTAAATATACTCCAAGGAAAGGCGGTTAGAGACTAAGTCTCACTGAAAAACAATTCCTTAAGTAGAGTATCAATTTAAGGAGACTAATGACACAAGATGTTCTTAAGTCATGGCCATTAAAACTAGTATGTCTCACCGATTCATATATACTTAATGTATAACTGTTTGGGGTATAAACCAGTAAACTGTATGGTATACACCAGAAAACTGTAGGATTCACCTATGATTAAAGCTCAAATGGTGAACTAAAAATAGCGGACTAAACGTGCTTAACTTTAGGCACTACCGCGACTAAAGTTTATGCATAAGTCCAACTTAATAAGGAACTACTATAATTCCATCCCAAAGTATGCATTGCTAAAGGCATAATAAAATTGCATAATTTAAAAACATAATATTATGCGGTGGACAGACATGCATAAAATTAAGCATTAAACTCATATATTCCAAATAAATTGCATAACTTAAAGCAATTTACAATATGAGATTTTAAAGTATAACTTAATATTCAAACATCGATGAGTTCAAACCAAAAGAGACCCAACATTTTGAATAATAATATACTGGATATATACTTTAAAATTTTGTTAAACTGTAAGCCCATGACAAAATGTTTGAATGCATAAAGATCAAATTTATGAGAAATAACTGAATTTACAAATTCAAACAATATCAAACCAACAGGATATGCTAGCATTTGTAAATCAAAATCTCACAAACCCTAATTGCATAATTAAACTTAATATTATGCACTTAATGTGATCGAATGCATAAAACAATCTAAAGAGTACGAATCAACTAAAAAATATGAATTTAAACCAAATATTCATTTATTCATACTTAACCAAATATGGGCAATCAGAACTTAAATCATAATTCCGAGAACTAAATGAATTATGGAATTAATGGCAAAAGTCAATTGCCTAGCAAATATGTTTTTCCAAGATTACTAAATTGATTCAAAATCACTCTCCATAACTCAGATAATAATATTATTATTATGAATGGCAAAATTGCAAATAACCAAAATAGCAATAAATAGCCATAATAATATTATCACATTATGTATGTAGGAGACTAAATATGGAAAAATAATGGTTAAAACCGCTAACATATATAAACGTTTTCAGATAAAATTTTAAAAACTTAATAAAATTTGAAGTCCGAAAAATATTAATGTCCAGAAAATTATTTTCTGAACTGGAGTATTGTCACATAAATTTATTTGGAAACAGTTTAAGATGCATATCTAAATACCATAACAATATTAATGATATCATTAATTAATTATTAATAACAATAAGTAACATTATAATCACTATTAACATTAATAATAATGACAAATCAAAGTATGGTAATGCACTTTTAATGTTTCCATTTTCTAAAGATAAAATATGTGACTAGTCCAAATTAGCGGTTAACTGTAACTGTAGCACTAATTATCAATAATAACTGTAAAAGATAATTAATGGCTAACCTTAATAGTGCAAACCGCATTTCTCCATTGCGCTAACAACGATGATGATCCACAAGAGAAGAAAAAACTACAGAATTCTCCCATCTTCACTGTTGGTGTCAGTAGCCTCGATGCAGCGTCCAATGGTACAGTTAAAAATTTATTGGTAGGACTTAATTACCAACATTAATAGTCATGTAAAATGAAGTGTAATCATGCCAATGTACCAAATATAGCAGATTACCATGAAATGATAATTATTATGAAAAGTAATAAAATGAGATTAGCCCCTAAACATAATAACAGTAATTAATAATGCCGAATTTAGCTTAATAAGTGGCAAAACTGTAATTAAGGGATGTCAAATACTAATCTCAATTTTATCACATAATAATTAATCATGACTATTATGATACTTAGGGAGACTGAAGTTAGGTAATAACCAAATTACCATTATTCTAACAATATACCAACTATATTGCTTTTGCCATAAAATTAAAGACTTAATATTATTATTAAGGCCTTAAAAAACTATTGATAGATTAAAAATTTAATCAACTTAAACAATAGTTATTAATTCTTAATGACCAAAATAACAATTAAATCCTTAAATTCTTAAATGTCTCTAAATAGGCTAAGACTATAATTATAGCACTTAATCACTCAAATTAGGCTCATAAACCTCAATGTCCTAAATGAATTATAACATGGATGAAAAAATGGTCTAATACTGAAGTAGACCCAAAACTTAATATTATTACCAACGATGAATACCAAAATATGGTAGTTAGTAATAATTAAAATTTAATAAACATGTTATAAGGAGCTATAATTATTATTAAAATATCAATCAAAAAGGTGGGATCCATGCTTTAATGACTCAAGATAGGTCCCAAATAGCTTGTTCAAAATAAGTTCTAAAGTCCCAGAGACACATAAAACTAAAATGTGCTCAAAATTAAGGGGAAACCAAACAAGCTGATTTAGTAGGTCATAATGCCTAAAATTTGGCTAAGGATCCAAAATTGAGTGGTAATTAATAATGAATTTATGAGTTAATAATATGTTAAATCCAACCTTAAAACATGCTTTTCTAAATGCATAATTATTATAACAATAAAATTATAAAAAAAAAAATACTTAGCATGCTTGGATTTTGCATTTAACTCATATATATCCTAAACAAATTGCAATACTTCAGGCAATTTAATATGAACCTCAATATTAAATTAAAATTCAAAGAGCAAATTCAATACATAATATTTGCTAAATATTAAATAGTAATTTAATTATGAATTTAATGCCAAAAATTAAGAGGAAACTAAAGGGCATTAATATCTGAAAACAAGCAATTACCATATATTTACCATTTGCTAAAAGTAATATTCAATATTAATTAAAGAAATATTAATATGGTAATATCAAACCAAATAATTACCATTTACCAAAATTAATATATATAATATTAACTAAAGCAAACATTAATATGGTAAATAAATATAAAATAATGGTAGTTACCTTAATGACTTGAGTGTTCTCCCAGGAAACTCCCAGTCAAACAACCAAAGCCAAAACAATGGATATAATTAATATTTCGAAGTCCAGATGAAATATGAAAATAACTGTGCTTCATGTTGAATTTTTTTTTTTTTCAAAAAAACACAACTACAGTACATTAATTCATTCTACACATACAAGGAAAATTATATAATTGTATGCTGATTTCAAAATATTAATATAAAACATATACGAAAAACCCTTAATGTATATGAAAGAAATTAATGTTGATCGTAGGCAACTCAATCAACCAGACAGAGATTATAAAGGCTCTGAAACCAAATGTTAGATATACAATAGTCTAACTGTAATAAACCATAGTATACGAGAAACCTGACCTCGTATGATAGCGGAAGCGTAGCCATGTAGATCTCCAGCCATAGTTGATGTTCCTGTTGTGTTGCCTCTTAACGGTAGACCGTCAGCCATGTTTTGCCTCAGACCTGACTCAGAACCCTAGATGGTGTATTGGTGTCTACTGAGCGGTCTGAGTACCGTAACTGAATGTGCTATCTAATCCATAATCCTGTATCCCATCAATCCAGGTTATATTAGGCACAGTGTTTGGTTGACTAACAACTACTAGTTATTAAGTCCAACCAGACCACTTAATAAGCCTAGTCAACTTGCACCACTTAATTAAGGCCCTAATATATAATATATAATATATATTATTAGGGAAAATCTTACATACAAATGACTTCATTTCTGAATTCCGATAGTCCTTGTGCAGAGTTCTTTGATAGCCTCTTCACAGCTATTTCTTCTCCCCATCCAAAGTGCCCTAGAAATTTAAAATCAAGACTAAAGATTCTGCACATGTCCATCCAATTAAGTAAACTATATATATATATATATATATATATATATATATATATATATATATATTTATATATATATATATATATATATATATAGGGAAGGTTCAGGTGTGGGTATAGTTTCTCGTGCGGTTGTGCGGTTAAATATGAGCAGTTGATCAAATTTAGATCAACGTCTCAAATCAATGAAAATTAAAAAAAAAAAAAACGCGTGCCTAGAACAAAGAAGTATAAGCTAAGGTGCCCCTTAAGTGTTAGATCTTAATCACAAACTCACGCACTTTAAGTACAAACCCCACACACATTAAGCACAACCTCATGCACATTAAGCACAAAACACACGCACTTTAAATATTAACTCACAGACTTTAAGTTTCAACAACTACTGACATTAAGTACAAAATTCACGCACATTAAGTACAAAACTCACGCACATTAAGCACAAACATCACGCACATTAAGCACAAAACCCACGCACTTTAAGTATTAACTCACAGACTTAGCTTTAAGTTTTAACAACTATTCACATTAAGCACATCCCCACGCACATTAAGCACAAACCTCACGCACATTAAGCACAAAACACACGCACATTAAGCACAAAACTCACGCACATTAATCACAGATCCGCTCACCTTAATTTTGACCTAGATGCAAAAATTACAAAATTGCCACCACGTTTTTTTAAAAACTTTGATAATCCTAGACGTTGATTAAAGCGAGATGAATGGCTCAGATTAAACCGCACAACAGCACCTGAAGCCCTCACCCGCACGAGAACCTAAATATATATATATATATATATATATATATATATATATATATATATATATATATATATATATATATATATATGATGAGATAGGGAAAATCAAATTCAATTCTGATAGGATAAGATGTTACAATACTAAAGGAAATAACAAACGTAAAGAACTCCTATCTAAGTGGTTAGCCATAGAAGACTAAGCCAACTATTACATAATTACTAAGCTCAATAATAATTATAATACTAAACTAATAATATTACTAACACACCCCCTCAAGCACAAGGATGTGAAACAACGTTGAGCTTGTCCCGATGAGCTGCAAATCTGGGCCCCGGTAGCGGTTTGGTGAGAATATCTGCCAGCTGATCCTTGGTAGACACAAAGTTGACAATAAATTCCCCGGATGCAACTTTGTCCCGTACAAAGTGGAAATCGATTTCGACGTGTTTGGTTCTGGCATGAAAAACTGGATTGGCGCATAGATATGTTGCTCCTAAGTTATCACACCATAGCGTTGCAGGATCCCCTGAATGTAAACCAAGTTCACGAAGTAAAGAAACAATCCACGTAAATTCCGCCGAGACATCTGCAAGAGCCTTATATTCGGCTTCAGTCGAAGAGCGCGCAACAGTTCGCTGTTTCCTGGAAAGCCACGAAATTAGGTTAGAGCCTAGAAAAACGGCATACCCGCTAGTGTTCTTCCTGTCTACCGGACATCCTGCCCAATCTGAGTCGGAAAAGGCATGTACCGAAGTCGACACCGAAGGTGATAATCGTAACCCATAGTTGAGTGTCCCTTTGATGTACCGTAGGACACGTTTAAGCAAAACCCAATGATCATCAGTAGGGGAGTGCATGAACTGGCAGAGACGGTTGACTGCAAAGGATAAGTCAGGCCTGGTGATAGTCAGATATTGTAAGGCCCCGACTAGCCGCCTGTACTGTGTTGGATTTTCATATGGCTGCGTGGAGGGTGTGACACTTTGAGTGACTGACGCCGGAGTAGCTAGTGGTTTACAGTCTGTCATACCGGCTCGGTTCAATAGGTCCGTCATGTAGCGACGTTGTGACAACATTAAGCTACCATCCTGGTTGAGTGTCTCGATCCCTAAGAAAAAAATCGGAGTGCCCAGGTCACGGATTTTAAAAGTAGTAGATAACCGGTGTAACAGCTTGTCAATCAAAGTAGCATCATCGCCCATCATAATAATGTCATCCACGTAGACCAGCAGGAATACACGTGACGCCCCCGCGGAATAATGAAAGAGGGTGATGTTATCACATCTGTGCATGTTTTTATAGCTTTTCTGATTCATTTTAGAAACAAAGTTATTGAATCATGTCCATTTATTACTTGTTTTCCTTGCTTTCTCGTTAGATTATGTTATTACACTTGTTTTGAATGCCTTACGGTGTTCGGTAGTGTTTTTCTTCACCATTACAGGGTGAGCGTGAGAGCAAGGGAAGAATTTCAAGCACGAAATGATCAAAAGAGGAAGAAGTCGAAGCATCAGCAATTCGACGCGTCGAGCCCATGCCTCGACGCGTCGAAAAATTCCAGTAGCTTCAAACATCGCACATTTTGGAGGCTCGACGCGTCGAGATCGCGGAGAGACGTTGATTTGAAAGACTCCTAAATTGATGCCATCAGGTTTCTACTATAAAAAGATCATCTTCTATCAACCCTAGGGTCTCCTCCTTCTGCGATTTCGGTGTTTTGAAGGCAATCAAGAGCAAAGCACAAAGAGGACCAACTTGAAGATTTACAACTAGCTTTGGAATAGAGAACTAGCTAGAAAGATTCGGGAGAACTCTTTCACTCTTACTCTTATTCTCGTTGTTATTTGTTTATCTTTAAGCATTGAATTTACTGTTATTATGGCCATGAGCGGCTAAATTCCTTAGGGATTTTTGGGTGAATTTGTTTATGAACCTATGTGCCTTGTTCGTTAATTTCTTAATATATTTATGTTTGGTTTTTATGATTTGTGTTGCAATCTTGTCTTAACCTGTTGTTGTTGGTAATTAAAGGCCTAAATTACTAGCTTCATAGTCATATTTGTGTCACCAATGGGAATTGGGGCATAAATTAGGGCACACACGATTGCACCTAATAGTTAGACCTTGGGAAAGGGGAATTTATTAGGGGAAGTTAATTCTATATTGTTGCTCATCGGGAGATGGTAGTAATTAGGAATAATTGAATGCTGATCTTCGATCTTATCGGGTGTTTAAGCTACGGGAGTGGAAATTCACTAGGAATAGAGATTACGGGAGTAATTCGATTCCACTTTGCATTCCCACACAGATCTTAATTCCAAACCAAATATTACAAACGTTAATTGGCACTAGGTGATTAAACATTGTGATCCCAAGAATCCCATTTTGCTCTATTGCATACGAAACCTTAATATTTGTTTTATTTCTTGCTCGTTATTTTATGCAACCAATGAACCATCAAGTTTCGATCAGACTAGCTCTTATAAGTAAGCGAGTAATTAGTGATTAGTACCCCATCTCCCTGTGGTTCGACAACCCGAATACTCCGGGTATTATTTGTTTGCAAATATACTACGCATCAAATTGGCGCCGTTGCCGGGGAGGTGGCGTTACGTTCTGACATTAGTGAAAGTCTTACTTTAGGAGTCTAGTCCATTTTTTATTTATTTATTTATTTATTTATTTATTTTATTTGCTAATCCATAACAAGTTTCTTGTTCTTGAGTGTGATTTTGCTTTGAATCTAAGAACTTGGCTTTTTATGCATACACGATCTTTTGGGAAAGAAGGATTATTACCTTTGAATCTTGAGATTGAGAAAAGAGCCAAGTTTCTCAGGAAACAAACTAGGATGGCACGGGTACAAGAAAACCAAGCTGAAGGGAGATCAATGTCTGACTACCTTGCTCCGGATGTTGAGGAGCATGGTAGCATCAATATTCCAAATGTGGAGGCCAATAACTTTGCGATCAATCCGGCCATACTCAGCATGGCTGCGGCAGATCGATTTGGAGGGATGCCCACGGAAGATCCCAATGATCACGCCACCAAGTTCCTACGACTTTGCGGCACTTTCAAGATAAATGGAGTCACTCAAGATGCTGTCAGACTTAGGCTTTTTCCCTTTACACTGAAGGACAGGGCTGAAGATTGGTTATCCTCACATCCAGATAACCATTTTGACACTTGGGACAAATTACATGGAGAATTTTTGAAGAAGTTCTATCCTATCTCCAAAACTCAAAGGATGAGAAGGGCAATTCAAAACTTTAAGCAACTGGCAACTGAGTCCCTCACTGAGTCTTGGGATTTAAGGAATTGAAGAGGCAATGTCCACACCATGGATTTCAAAGTTGGGATTTGATGATGTCTTTCTATGAAGGATTGCTTGATAATTCTAGGATTTTGGTGGATGCTTCTTCGGGTGGTTCGTTCACGATTCTAGAGCCAACACAAGCCGAGGAACTATTGGAGAAAATTGCTATGAATGGATCCACTTGGTACACGGAGAGGTCTCCACAAAAGCTTGTAGGAGGAATTCATGATGCGGGGCAATTAGCCGATTTGTCAACAAAGTTGGATAATGTGGTCTCCATGGTTCAAAAACTTGCCCAAATCACCAGCCAAAATCACAATTCAGGGGATTGTATCTACGAGTTAAACTCCCAAACCTCTATGGAGCAAGTTAATATGTTGGGATATAATAGGCCTCATCAACAGTCTTACCAACCTCAAGGGACCTACCATCCTAATAATTCAAGGAACCATCCCGGCTTTTCATGGAGCAACCCAGTGGGAGCTGCCAACCCTCAACACTTTGTTAATAGAGGTCCTCTGGGTTATCAAGGTACTCAAGTTCAATCTAAATTTCCCGTTTCAAAGGCCCCACCACAATCGAATACGGATGTTTTGTTGGAAAAATTGATTAAAGGTCAGTTAGAGATTACAGAAAGGATGGATAAAATGGAAGCTCGCCAAAATATGGTTGAAAGGCAATTAGCAAATCAACCTTCTATATCAAGTACTAAAGTCACAGGGAAGTTGCCAGCTATGCCTGAAAATCCAAGGGAGCATGTAAATGCAATTGTTACAAGGAGTGGCAAAGTACTTGAAGAGCCACCTCTTCCAATCAAAGCATCAATTCCTAAAAAGACAGCTGAGGAGAAGATTGAAGAGATACTTGATGGTATAGAAGATGAGCCAATTGCTGTGCAAAATAATCCACAAGTTCAAAAGGAAGTAGAGAAACCTGTGAGAAGGTATGTACCCCCATTGCCTTTTCCTCAAAATCTTGAAACAACAAAAGAAAGTAGGTGGAAAAAGTTTTTGGAGATTGTTGAGAGTTTGAAAGTTTCAGTTCCCTTACTTGATTTGCTTTCACAAGTTCCCTCTTATGGAAAATTTTTGAAAGAGATTCTAGCTAAGAAAAAGAAATATGGGGAACGAGAGATGGTAGCTGTGGCACAAGAGTATCAAGCGTTGACCCCGGGAATTGGGAGGAATATACCTAAGCATAGAGATCCGGGGAAGTTCACAATTCCTTGTGTGATTGGAGGCCGACCGTTAAAGGGATCCCTTTGTGATTTAGGAGCCAGTGTGAGTGTTATGCATCTTACTCTTTGTCAAGGGTTAGGGTTGGGAGAGCCAAAACCAATCCAATTCACCCTAGAAATGGCAGATAGATCCATCGTAAAGCCTATTGGAATCCTTGAAGATGTCCCAGTTCGTGTGGACAAGTATTTTGTGCCTTGTGATTTTATTGTGATAGATGTCCAAAGGAACTTAGACGTTCCACTCATTTTGGGGAGACCCTTCCTAGCCACTATTGGAGCAATGGTTGATGCAAGGAAAGGGTCCATGATTTTTGACTTTGGGGAGGAAAAGGTGGAATTTAATGTTCTTGATGAGCCAAAAATCATTGAGTGCAAGTCAATTTTGCACATCGACCCAACTCTCAAGGTGACCCATGATGAGTATTTGCATTTGAAGAGTCTATGGGGTGATGAGATCAAACTCGCGGATCAACCAGGATGAGCACTCCATAACCAGGTTAGGTCGAGCTAGCGACGTTAAACTTAGTGCTTCATGGGAGGCACCCCATGTTATCTTTTATTTCTTTCATATTTATTGCTTTCTAGGTTAATTTTATTGCTTTCTAGATTCGTTTTATTTAGTTTTATTGCTTTCTAGTTCGTGATTATTTTTGTTTTATAGTTTTTCTCTTTTCTCTTGCACCAGGGACGATGCAAAGTTTTAAGTGTGGGGGGAGGAATCATTAATTTGGGGATATTTCTAAAATTTTAAAAAATTTTGCTTTTGCTTGGATGACTCATATGCTATTTTTGGTGAATAAGTTACTTGTCTTAGCATGTAGTTACAATTACTCTCTCTTGTTGGTTTGTGGTTTGTCTTAGTGGTGCTTGCTGCATCTCAATTTGTGATGGATGATTTGAGGTGTAACACATATTTGATCTATTCCCTTGCCAATAGCTTTGTTAACCACTTAATGATTGGATTAATCCTTGATCTTGTGTTTTGCATTGCTAGTGAAGGCTTATGTGAGATTCCGGTCATGGGTGTTTTTGCTAGAACTTGCCTCATTACTCCCTAAGTGATGTCTAAGTTTTGCATGTTTTGAAGTGATTTAGGCCATTATTGTTTAGCCATAGCCTTTAAACCTGTCCCTATATATATATTTTTATCCTTCGTTTCCCCATTGTGCCTTTTTGTTTGTTCAAATAAGTGCTAAGCACTTATCCGCTCTTTGTGATTGTTTTTCTTTGATTTACCCCATTATTATAACCCTTAGCCCTTGGCCAAATATTTCCCATCCACCCTTGAGAGAATGAAACTTTTATCTTTATCTTTTCTGTAAGAAGAGTTTTTATGGAGTTGTGCTACAAAAAAAGAAGCAGCTAGTGTTACAAATGTTCAAGTGTGGAGGTCATGAAAGTTTGGATTAAAATTATCTTGCTATATCCAAAAGAAGTCCAAAGACAAAGAAAAGAAAAAAAAAAGAAAAAAAAAAAAAAGAGATTGAAAGTTTTTGAGTTTGGATCCCCACTTTACCAAAGAGTTGCTAAGTTCTTAAAAGAAATTTGCTCCTTGGAATTATGATTATCTCATCTCTTCCAAATTTTGAAAAGTTTAGATAAATTGTGACATTCTCTCTTTTTGATTAATTTTTCCATACCACTTCTTT